TATTTTAATAGATTTTAGAGTAAAAAGCCTAATAATCTTCACTCTTAATGTAATTAAATTCTATTGGATAACTAGACTTCTTAGTATTAATCTTGAGAATGACAAGAACCCATAGGTATGATGATAAAATTTTGTTAAAATATAAGCATGATAAGGTTCTTCTAGTGATTTTAAGAATTTAAATTAATCAAGATTATCAAATTTGATTTTGAATAAGAGCTTGATCTCAAAAACTCAGACTTTGATAGCAGACTAAATTTGTGCATTTAGGATTTAAATTTAACTACAAATTGCTTTTATCAGAACTAATTATTGTTATATCAACATTAAGAAAACTTAATTAATTAAATTAGAGTTTTCATTTGTGATAATAATATTAAAATAGAGCTAATTAATTTATTACTTCTAAGAACTTCATATGATTAAATGAAGCTTTCTCTTCTTAATATTGAAGAAAAGAAAAAAATACTTATTCATAAATTCGATGACAGTAAAACAAAGATTATACTAAGAGATGATTTTGGTTTAATTTAAATCGAAATCTAAAAATTAATTAACAGAAGTGAAGCAAAGTTATTAGAAATAGAAATTTTAGCTTGTTTTAAATTGTCGTTTTTATGAATTACATTTGTTTAAACATAATATCCCAGATTTAATAAATACATTATATCTTATGCTAATTTATTATTTAATTTATATATATATTTTAGATATATTTATATGTTATATAATCATATAATTATTGAATTTTTAATAAAGCATTTATTTATTCTTGATAGAAGCAAAAATATATTTAATTTTACTCATTCTGGCAGTTATAATAATCTTTTAAACCTACTGAAGCGAATATACTTAATTATTCTGGAATAGTGACAGAAAATATTTGTAATTAATTTTAAGAAAGGATTGAGTTTAAACCAAGCCCAAATAGAAAATTAGAATTATTATAATTTACCATTTAAACTCTTGATAATTTTAGTTTATCCTTTTACAAATACCATAAGACCCTTCTAGGTATTCAAATCAAAAAATCAATTTTTTTCCAAACTCAGCATTTAAAAAAATGATCAATAAATTAGACAAGCTACTCTAATCATTCTAGCCTTATTCACTAAATTTAAAGTTCTTACTGCCATACCTGCCTTACTGAAATAATCAGAAAAACTGATATTTAGGAAAGCGATTTCTCTGTTCATATTTTCAATAATTTTTGCTTAGACTTTTTTTTATTTATTAAGGTGATCTAAATTACGATATTACCGGTTATGGCTTAGAAAAAGGGCATCAATTTAATTTTTGTAAATATTGCAATATTGATAGTAAATTCAGCAAAAGATAAAAGCTTAGCATTTTCCTCCATCAATTCTATCAAGAGAAATTTTACATTATCTAAAGATAAGCAGATAGTATTCACTGTTTCTGAGATTCAATGATTGTTGCAATAGGTGATAGTATTTATTTTGCAAATAAGCTCTTGAAAATATTTGGATTTTTAATTTTTAAATGATTGGCTGCATATGTTTTTCAAACAATTCCAAGGTGATAAAAACATACTTTTTCTGTATGGAAATGAGATTTATTTTTTCTATATAAATAGGGTTTATTTAATTGTGATTTAATTACAATATTTTCTGGTTACAATTTTGATTCAAATATTATTGATAAATATCATTATATTAATGAGTTGTTATACTATCCAATTAATTAGCTAAAGAATTTGTTTATTATTTTAGATATCATAACAAGCAAAATTATTTAAGTATTTAGTAGCTGAAAACTTTTATAGATATAAAATACTTATAATAGAATTATTAATTATGAAAGTT